TTCCTCTCCCCATCACCACCCCGGCCTCCCTGTTCGACGCGGTAGCCGGCCCGCTGCTGAAGGGGCTAGAGGCGGCGCACAAGGAGATGGAGTTTGCCGCCCAGTCGCAGTTAAGAAAGTCGTCCTTGGACCGGTGCAAGCTCGTGGTGCGCCTAGGGAAGCTGCTGTTCGGACCTCCTTTCGGCTCCCCAGAGTGAGTACTAGAGGAGACTTGTACGCTCTGTATCATATTCGAACAGGCTCCGACTTATGAGGCGCCTCTTTAGTAGTCTAGAGCAAACTTGTACGCACTGTATCATAATCGAACAGGCTCCGTGTCTGTCAGTAAGAGTGCACCTGTCATTAGACACAGGCATGCGTCTGTCGACCGTGCTCTCCTCTGTTTCCCCCTGCACCCCAGGTCTCTCCTCCCGGGCCTACCGCCCTTCACAGCGGGCGCATTCGAGTCAAACCTGAACAGGCAGGCGCAGAGGCCGCCAGTTAGGGAGCAGCGGTCGCTGGAAACGGGCATGCCCGAGCTGCTGTTACTCATATCCCCCTACCTTCCACATGTTCCCCTCTCTGTCCCCTCTCTGTCCCTCTCTGTCCCCTCTCTGTCCCCTCCTGCTGTCTGCACCTCTGCCCCAGGTCTCTCCTCCCTGGCCTACCGCCCTTCACAGCGGGCGCATTCGAGTCGAACTTGAACAGGCAGGCGCAGCGGCTGCCAGTGAGGGTGCACCGGTCGCTGGAAACGGGCATGCCTGAGCCTCTATTTCAGGCAGTTGAGGGCATTGTGATGGGGGGAGAGGGCGGGAGCGTTCAAACGAAGGAGACGTACCACATACGGGTATGTGACTGACATGTGCCTGGTATGTTACCGAGTCACTCTAGAAAGGGTATGCATTTAGAGACAGGCATGCGCGAGCCTCTCTCACAAGGCGTGGAGGGGGAGGGGGTGAGTGAGCGTGGTCACGAAAGAGACCATTAAATAAGGGTAAGTGGCGCATGTCAAGAAAAATTGTTTGTATTGGGAAATGGAGGTAGAGACAGGCAATGGCTGGTATAGTGGGGAGGGGATGATGACGCTGGATGGCATAGTGGGTAGGGGATGATTGGGCATGCACACCACAGAGACGTGCCATAAACGAATTTGCAAAGGAAGTAGCTTGTCAAGCTGTTTGCCTCACTAAGCTCTTTGGCTTGATGTCTTTTGCGACCCCCCCTTCTACAAACCAGCGCCCTATACTTCTATTCTGACAATTTTTTAAGTCGCTGCCCACGTGAAGTCATGGCATGGAAATGGTGCTTTCTCAGATTGTTGGCCTCACAAAGCTCTTCCCCACTGGGGAAGGTGGCGGAACTTTGGCATTCTTTGCCTCTCATGGACAAAGCTCTTTGTGTCGATGTCTATTGACGCTTCTCTCCTGTACCCCGTTGTCCCCCATATCGTTGATCCGTTACAGGTAGTAGACACAGACCAGATGGACACAGAGTACAAGTTGATATGCAAGCCCGACCCTGATGGCTCAGGGGTTATCCTCGTTAAGGTGTGATTCATTGTCATTGTGTTCCTCAGTTACTCCAGTTCAGCTGCCCTTTGGTGTACTTGTTGCTGCTTGTTCTGTTTTAGTGTTTTTTTTTGTTTTAGAATTCTCAAAAGCAGAGCTGCCCTTTGGTGTGGTTGTTGCTGCCTGTTACCTTTTGAGTGTGTGTTTCCTTCTCACGTTTTGTGCTAAACTCTCCGTTTCATCCCATTCCAAATCTGCTACCCTCTCAGTGAGCCACAACCCTCTGCGCTATGCAGTGATTGCAGCGGTGGTCCTCTTTCTGCCCTCTCTTCCCATTCCTCTCCCACGCTATCCTTCTCCCATCCCACCCCACTCCACCCCACCCTACCCCACCCCACCCCACCCACCCCATCCAATCTCATTCCGTTGTATCTCCGCGATCCTCCAGGTGAAGCACAACCCCCTGCGCTATGCAGTGGTTGACGTCTCTCGCCCCGCCAAGGCCATTGACTTCCGCCTCATGCTCGCCACCGACACCCGCCTCTGCTCCCTCGATGTCAGTCATGAGTCCTCTGACCCATGGGGCACACAGACAGAGATGTGAGAACCGCACCTTCTTGCTTTCCTCTCCCTCTTGCTCCTGCCACTCCATATATTCTTTCCCTATCACTATCCCTCGTTCTCTGTCGTTTCACACCCAGGACGCCATCCGGTGTGCGTGTGAACGCACAGCATCCTCAGCTACCATCGAGGACAGCTCCAAGGGCGGTCTGCACTGGCCCATCACCGTCGACTGAATTGTCTCCTGATCCCTGCCTCTTTCCCCTCTCAATCCCGTTATCCAGGACGCCATTCGGTCTGCCTGTGAGCGCATGGCATCCTCAGCAATCATTGAGGACAGCTCAAAGGGCGGGCTGCACTGGCCCATGACCCACCTGCTCCTTCTCACTTACCTGCCATCTCTTTCTCCTCACGTCCCCCACCCTCCATTCAGGAGGCCACCCAGTCAGCCTGTGAGCGCATAGCATCCTCGGCGATCATTGAAGACAGCTCAAAGGGCGGGCTGCACTGGCCAATCACCGTCGACTTCGATGTCGGCATGAAGGACGCGCCCTCACCAGCACACTCCCCATCAGCGCACTCATCGTCACATGCACCAGCGCACTCACCCGCATCGCCATCGCACCGCTTCAGAGTGCGGAGTGTGCGGCACCAGAGGCGGCTGCGTGTGCAGTCAGGCGGGCAGCTGTGGAAGCTGTCGCGAGTCAACGGGGTGGAGTTTGACCATGGAGGGGGGCGCCTCACTAACGAAGTCGAGTTTACCCTGCTGCCCTGGCGACAGCAGATGAAGGTGAGTTGCTTTATTTCGCCATAGTGTGTGTGTGGGCTCTTGAGGGTGCAGTCAGGAACGGGCAGCTGTGGAAGCTGCCGCGAGTCAATGGGTTAAGAGTATGACCATGGGGGAGGTTGCCTCACGAATGAGGTCGAGTTTACCCCGCATTCGTATGAAGAGAGCCGATGGAGGTATGCTGGTGGCATGAGAAGTTCGGAGGAGAAAATTGTTGCAGGTGGTAAGGAGGTATGATGATTGCAGCCCAGTACACGGGTGTAACATGTTACACGGCTCTTGGGGTTGTTGTGTAGTCCGAGTTTGATATACAAGATGTTTTCCAACTATCTCTCTCATTTCATTCGCCCTCTTTCTCATTCCTGCTGCATCTGCTGCTGCAGGCCACGAAAGATGCACACAACGACGCTGCCGCTTCTCCCTCTCCCCTATCCAGCGAGCCCACACCCACCTCCTACTTGGCCGCATCGTGCTTTGACTCGAGCTTGCAGCAGGCAGCACCACAATGGACTCCAGAGAGCATTCTGGCTGAATGCCCTGCCCTTATCGACTGGTTGCAGCAGCACCTGCCGTAGAGGAAGAAGAGAGATCAAGGCCGGTTGCTCCTGCTGCTACCGGTGCAGGCTACTATGGAGGCAAACAACAACGCTAGCGTTTCTCCTTCCCTGTCAACGAGTCAGCAGCACCCCCCTACTCGGCGGCATCTTGCTGGCAGCACCCAAGTGGACACCAGGGAGCATTCTTCCTGAATGCCCCACCCTCATACACTGGCTGCAGCTGTGTCTGTCGTAGAACCGGACTCCCCTACCTGGCTGAAGCAACAACTGTTGTCGAGTTTTAGTGGAGAACGGGGGTCTGGTGGTGATTTCCAGTGAGCATTCCTGCTGGAAGCCTTGCCCTTGATAGACTGGCTGTAGCAACACCTGTTGTAGGCAGAGGGTCTTGTATAATTTTGTACACCTGTTGACAGGCACGCTCATATGCATTTTCATGGGCAGTTATTAGAATGCATGTTTGGCCACATGCTGTAACGTTATTGGCAGATGTGCTCAATTTCTAAGAGTCTTCAGAGTCACATGGGAAGTACATCGATTTATTGTAGGAATCAATGAAGAATGAAGCAATCATAATTCACAATAAGCTGGTAGCACGAATCGACGTGAAACTGGTGTACATGCTGAGTAACGCATCACCTCATTGAGCGGATAAACGGGGAAAATTACTGCCGCGGACTGTCCGCAAATCTTTTCATACTTTCGTGGACAGCCCCTACTTTCATGGACACCACATCAACCTTTCGCTTCTCCCGTGGACTCCGTCCCTACTTTCATGGACATCCGCCTTACTTCCATGGACAAGGTCGAAATCGCAGGAAATAGGCGAAAACTCAACTGTACAAAAAATGACGGGCGCTGAAAAAAAAAAACAGCGGCTTAGCGTGCGTCGCAAAGAGTCGCGCACTACAGTGCCCCAAACCTAATCCAAAACAGAATCAGAATCATATTTCAAAGAAGCATTTTTATTTAGAGCCTTTCCTTGTTAAAAAACATAATATATTTAGGAAGTTATGCAGGGAAATTTTCCAAAAACATTTATCATGAGAACGAAACCTTTCCTTTTGCGAATATGATGTAAACAACAACAGCAGCACTAGTCTGAACTGGTAGACAAATTTACAGAGCGTACCGATTTTTCCTTCTGAAGTACAGTTACGTAGAAACGCGTGGGTACTGCCTGCCGAATCACACATCACAGGACTTTTTGTGCCAAACGCACCAAACGAAAACCTGGCGTGAAAGTCATGTTCCCAATTTCGGGGAGACTCTGTTTCGGATTAGGTTTGGGGCACTGTAGTGCGCGACTCTTTGCGACGCATGCTGAGCTGCTGTTTTTTTTTCAGCGCCCGTCATGTTTTGTACAGTTGAGTTTTCGCCTATTTCCTGCGATTTTGACCTTGTCCATGGAAGTAAGGCGGATGTCCATGAAAGTAGGGACGGAGTCCACGGGAGAAGCGAAATGTTGATGTGGTGTCCATGAAAGTAGGGGTTGTCCACGAAAGTATGAAAAGATTTGCGGACAGTCTGCGGCAGTAATTTTCCCGGATAAACGGTCAAACTAAAACCCACGCCTTCCACTCGCCTTCTCTATGTTCTCGTCCTACTTCTAGCAGTCAATCCTTCCTCCCATGCGCACGCGACTAGGCTGTACGTACGCATGGCAGGAACGACGAACCGCCCGGCACTAAGGACATTCCTGCGCCGCGAAAGAACACGAGCCAGGCTCCGCAGCGCGCATGCGATGCGAATCGATTCTCCGCGGCCCGTCTTTTGGGCCGACGCGAAGACACGCGACTCCAAGCCCCGAGCCAGTCTGGATTGGAACCGCAACGGTTCTCGACGTATTAAAACATGTCGTCAGCTGCTGGTCCCACGTGAACTCGATGCTTGTTTCGAGTGACCTTGAGTCTCGAAATAGCCACTTCCACGGAGTACTCCTTCCAAGCTGAGGTTCGCTATCCGCCATTGATCATGGCGCAGTGGGGAGCTCAACGGCAGCGATCGTCACCAGCCGGCGGGGCATCCAGCACGCGCGCGGCGCGAAGATCCTCACCTTAATCGACGACTACGAGGACCGCAAGGCGGGAACCGTCGGATTGACGCGCGACCACCGCGTGTCGCTCGAGTTCAAACCGTTCGCCAGCCAGAGCTACCTGCATCTCCGCAACAGGCGCCTCGCCGTGCTCGCCAGGGCGCCGATCCCGGGCGGCGGGCTCAGCTCGCGGCGTTATAGCAGCGAGGAGGAGTGGGAGGAGTATGACCCCGAAATTGAAGATCCTTATAACGAAGAAGGCGGTAGCGAGGACGGCGGTGGAGGATTTGCGGAACGAGGCGGCGCGATCCGGCCGCGCGAGCCTGAGTTGTTCGACGTGGTGCGGTATCCCCTGAGCGAAGCGCTCGATACGGTTCGTGAGAAGCTCGAGCGCCGCGCGCTGATGGTCCGCGGAGGCCCGCGGGGGGGAGGCGGAGGGCGCGCGCATGAGGGGGTGGAGCGGGTGAAGCTGCTGGTGCGGCTGGGGAAGATGCTGTTTTCTGCACAGGGGAGGGCGGAGTGAGTGTAGCGCCCATGTTTGAGAATTCCTTGGAGAAGCATTTCTCATTTGTTTTCCACTTTACCTTTGCATCCCCTGTCTCGGTTTCACTCGTTTGTTTACCTTTGCAACCCCTAATGCTTTTTTGAGTCGACTCAAAAATCACCTCAGTTTCACTCGTTTGTTCTTTGCAACCCCTAGTGCAACCCCTAGTGCAACCCCTAGTGCAACCCCTAGTGCAGCCCCTAGTGCAGCCCCTAGTGCAACCCCTAGTGCAGCCCCTAGTGCAGCCCCTAGTGCAACCCCTAGTGCAGCCCCTAGTGCAGCCCCTAGTGCAGCCCCTAGTGCAGCCCCTAGTGCAGCCCCTAGTGCAGCCCCTAGTGCAACCCCTAGTGCAGCCCCTAGTGCAACCCCTAGTGCAGCCCCTAGTGCAGCCCCTAGTGCAGCCCCTAGTGCAGCCCCTAGTGCAGCCCCTAGTGCAGCCCCTAGTGCAGCCCCTAGTGCAACCCCTAGTGCAACCCCTAGTGCAGCCCCTAGTGCAGCCCCTAGTGCAGCCCCTAGTGCAGCCCCTAGTGCAGCCCCTAGTGCAACCCCTAGTGCAGCCCCTAGTGCAGCCCCTAGTGCAGCCCCTAGTGCAGCCCCTAGTGCAGCCCCTAGTGCAGCCCCTAGTGCAGCCCCTAGTGCAGCCCCTAGTGCAGCCCCTAGTGCAGCCCCTAGTGCAGCCCCTAGTGCAACCCCTAGTGCAGCCCCTAGTGCAGCCCCTAGTGCAGCCCCTAGTGCAGCCCCTAGTGCAGCCCTAGTGCAGCCCCTAGTGCAGCCCCTAGTGCAGCCCCTAGTGCAACCCCTAGTGCAGCCCCTAGTGCAGCCCCTAGTGCAGCCCCTAGTGCAGCCCTAGTGCAGCCCTAGTGCAGCCCCTAGTGCAGCCCCTAGTGCAGCCCCTAGTGCAACCCCTAGTGCAGCCCCTAGTGCAGCCCCTAGTGCAGCCCCTAGTGCAGCCCCTAGTGCAACCCCTAGTGCAGCCCCTAGTGCAACCCCTAGTGCAGCCCCTAGTGCAGCCCCTAGTGCAGCCCCTAGTGCAGCCCCTAGTGCAGCCCCTAGTGCAGCCCCTAGTGCAGCCCCTAGTGCAGCCCCTAGTGCAACCCTAGTGCACCCCTAGTGCAGCCCCTAGTGCAGCCCCTAGTGCAGCCCTAGTGCAGCCCCTAGTGCAGCCCCTAGTGCAGCCCCTAGTGCAGCCCTAGTGCACCCCTAGTGCAGCCCCTAGTGCAGCCCCTAGTGCAGCCCCTAGTGCAGCCCCTAGTGCAGCCCCTAGTGCAGCCCCTAGTGCAGCCCCTAGTGCAGCCCCTAGTGCAGCCCCTAGTGCAGCCCCTAGTGCAGCCCCTAGTGCAGCCCCTAGTGCAGCCCCTAGTGCAGCCCCTAGTGCAGCCCCTAGTGCAGCCCCTAGTGCAGCCCCTAGTGCAGCCCCTAGTGCAGCCCCTAGTGCAGCCCTAGTGCAGCCCCTAGTGCAGCCCTAGTGCAGCCCCTAGTGCAGCCCCTAGTGCAGCCCCTAGTGCAGCCCCTAGTGCAGCCCCTAGTGCAGCCCCTAGTGCAGCCCCTAGTGCAGCCCCTAGTGCAGCCCCTAGTGCAGCCCCTAGTGCAGCCCCTAGTGCAGCCCCTAGTGCAGCCCCTAGTGCAGCCCCTAGTGCAGCCCCTAGTGCAGCCCCTAGTGCAGCCCCTAGTGCAGCCCCTAGTGCAGCCCCTAGTGCAGCCCCTAGTGCAGCCCCTAGTGCAGCCCCTAGTGCAGCCCCTAGTGCAGCCCCTAGTGCAGCCCCTAGTGCAGCCCCTAGTGCAGCCCCTAGTGCAGCCCCTAGTGCAGCCCCTAGTGCAGCCCCTAGTGCAGCCCCTAGTGCAGCCCCTAGTGCAGCCCCTAGTGCACCCTAGTGCAGCCCCTAGTGCAGCCCCTAGTGCAGCCCCTAGTGCAGCCCCTAGTGCAGCCCTAGTGCAGCCCCTAGTGCAGCCCCTAGTGCAGCCCCTAGTGCAGCCCCTAGTGCAGCCCCTAGTGCAGCCCTAGTGCAGCCCCTAGTGCAGCCCCTAGTGCAGCCCCTAGTGCAGCCCCTAGTGCAGCCCCTAGTGCAGCCCCTAGTGCAGCCCCTAGTGCAGCCCCTAGTGCAGCCCCTAGTGCAGCCCCTAGTGCAGCCCTAGTGCAGCCCTAGTGCAGCCCCTAGTGCAGCCCCTAGTGCAGCCCCTAGTGCAGCCCCTAGTGCAGCCCTAGTGGCACGCCCCTAGTGCAGCCCCTAGTGCAGCCCCCTAGTGCAGCCCCTAGTGCAGCCCCTAGTGCAGCCCCTAGTGCAGCCCCTAGTGCAGCCCCTAGTGCAGCCCCTAGGTGCAGCCCCTAGTGCAGCCCCTAGTGCAGCCCCCTAGTGCAGCCCTAGTGCAGCCCCTAGTGCAGCCCTAGTTGCAGCCCCTAGTGAGGCCCCTAGTGCAGCCCCTAGTGCAGCCCCTAGTGCAGCCCCCTAGTGCAGCCCCTAGTGCAGCCCCTAGTGCAGCCCCTAGTGCAGCACCCTAGTGCAGCCCCTAGTGCAGCCCCCTAGTGCAGCCCCTAGTGCAGCCCCTAGTGCAGCCCCTAGTGCAGCCCCTAGTTGCAGCCCCTAGTGCAGCCCCTAGTGCAGCCCCTAGTGCAGCCCCTAGTGCAGCCCCTAGTGCAGCCCCTAGTGCAGCCCCTAGTGCAGCCCTAGTGCAGCCCCTAGTGCAGCCCCTAGTGCAGCCCCTAGTGCAGCCCCTAGTGCAGCCCCTAGTGCAGCCCCTAGTGCAGCCCCCTAGTGCAGCCCCTAGTGCAGCCCTAGTGCAGCCCCTAGTGCAGCCCCTAGTGCAGCCCCTAGTGGCAGGCCCCTTAGTGGCAGCCCCTAGTGCAGCCCCTAGTGCAGCCCCTAGTGCAGCCCCTAGTGCACCCTAGTGCAGCCCCTAGTGCAGCCCCTAGTGCAGCCCCTAGTGCAGCCCCTAGTGCAGCCCCTAGTGCAGCCCCTAGTGCAGCCCCTAGTGCAGCCCCTAGTGCAGCCCCTAGTGCAGCCCCTAGTGCAGCCCCTAGTGCAGCCCCTAGTGCAGCCCCTAGGTGCAGTAGCCCTAGTGCAGCCCCTAGTGCAGCCCCTAGTGCAGAGTCCCCTAGTGCAGCCCTAGTGCAGCCCTAGTGCAGCCCCTAGTGCAGCCCCTAGTGCAGCCCTAGCCCCTAGTGCAGCCCCTAGTGCAGCCCTAGTGCAGCCCCTAGTGCAGCCCCTAGTGCAGCCCCTAGTGCAGCCCCTAGTGCAGCCCCTAGTGCAGCCCCTAGTGCAGCCCTAGTGCAGCCCCTAGTGCAGCAGCCCCTAGTGCAGCCCCTAGTGCAGCCCCTAGTGCAGCCCCTAGTGCAGCCCCTAGTGCAGCCCCTAGTGCAGCCCCTAGTGCAGCCCCTAGTGCAGCCCTAGTGCAGCCCCTAGTGCAGCCCCTAGTGCAGCCCCTAGTGCAGCCCCTAGTGCAGCCCTAGTGCAGCCCCTAGTGCAGCCCCTAGTGCAGCCCCTAGTGCAGCCCTAGTGCAGCCCCTAGTGCAGCCCCTAGTGCAGCCCCTAGTGCAGCCCCTAGTGCAGCCCCTAGTGCAGCCCCTAGTGCAGCCCCTAGTGCAGCCCCTAGTGCAGCCCCTAGTGCAGCCCCTAGTGCAGCCCCTAGTGCAGCCCCTAGTGCAGCCCCTAGTGCAGCCCCTAGTGCAGCCCCTAGTGCAGCCCCTAGTGCAGCCCCTAGTGCAGCCCCTAGTGCAGCCCCTAGTGCAGCCCCTAGTGCAGCCCCTAGTGCAGCCCCTAGTGCAGCCCTAGTGCAGCCCCTAGTGCAGCCCCTAGTGCAGCCCCTAGTGCAGCCTAGTGCAGCCCCTAGTGCAGCCCCTAGTGCAGCCCCTAGTGCAGCCCCTAGTGCAGCCCCTAGTGCAGCCCCTAGTGCAGCCCCTAGTGCAGCCCTAGTGCAGCCCCTAGTGCAGCCCCTAGTGCAGCCCCTAGTGCAGCCCCTAGTGCAGCCCCTAGTGCAGCCCCTAGTGCAGCCCCTAGTGCAGCCCCTAGTGCAGCCCCTAGTGCAGCCCCTAGTGCAGCCCCTAGTGCAGCCCCTAGTGCAGCCCCTAGTGCAGCCCCTAGTGCAGCCCCTAGTGCAGCCCCTAGTGCAGCCCCTAGTGCAGCCCCTAGTGCAGCCCTAGTGCAGCCCCTAGTGCAGCCCCTAGTGCAGCCCCTAGTGCAGCCCCTAGTGCAGCCCCTAGTGCAGCCCCTAGTGCAGCCCTAGTGCAGCCCCTAGTGCAGCCCCTAGTGCAGCCCTAGTGCAGCCCCTAGTGCAGCCCCTAGTGCAGCCCTAGTGCAGCCCCTAGTGCAGCCCCTAGTGCAGCCCCTAGTGCAGCCCCTAGTGCAGCCCCTAGTGCAGCCCCTAGTGCAGCCCCTAGTGCAGCCCCTAGTGCAGCCCCTAGTGCAGCCCTAGTGCAGCCCCTAGTGCAGCCCCTAGTGCAGCCCCTAGTGCAGCCCCTAGTGCAGCCCCTAGTGCAGCCCCTAGTGCAGCCCCTAGTGCAGCCCCTAGTGCAGCCCCTAGTGCAGCCCCTAGTGCAGCCCCTAGTGCAGCCCCTAGTGCAGCCCCTAGTGCAGCCCCTAGTGCAGCCCCTAGTGCAGCCCCTAGTGCAGCCCCTAGTGCAGCCCCTGCAGCCCTAGTGCAGCCCCTAGTGCAGCCCCTAGTGCAGCCCCTAGTGCAGCCCCTAGTGCAGCCCCTAGTGCAGCCCCTAGTGCAGCCCTAGTGCAGCCCCTAGTGCAGCCCCTAGTGCAGCCCCTAGTGCAGCCCCTAGTGCAGCCCCTAGTGCAGCCCCTAGTGCAGCCCCTAGTGCAGCCCCTAGTGCAGCCCCTAGTGCAGCCCCTAGTGCAGCCCCTAGTGCAGCCCCTAGTGCAGCCCCTAGTGCAGCCCCTAGTGCAGCCCCTAGTGCAGCCCCTAGTGCAGCCCCTAGTGCAGCCCCTAGTGCAGCCCCTAGTGCAGCCCCTAGTGCAGCCCCTAGTGCAGCCCCTAGTGCAGCCCCTAGTGCAGCCCCTAGTGCAGCCCCTAGTGCAGCCCCTAGTGCAGCCCCTAGTGCAGCCCCTAGTGCAGCCCCTAGTGCAGCCCCTAGTGCAGCCCCTAGTGCAGCCCCTAGTGCAGCCCCTAGTGCAGCCCCTAGTGCAGCCCCTAGTGCAGCCCCTAGTGCAGCCCCTAGTGCAGCCCTAGTGCAGCCCCTAGTGCAGCCCCTAGTGCAGCCCCTAGTGCAGCCCCTAGTGCAGCCCCTAGTGCAGCCCCTAGTGCAGCCCCTAGTGCAGCCCCTAGTGCAGCCCCTAGTGCAGCCCCTAGTGCAGCCCCTAGTGCAGCCCCTAGTGCAGCCCCTAGTGCAGCCCCTAGTGCAGCCCCTAGTGCAGCCCCTAGTGCAGCCCCTAGTGCAGCCCCTAGTGCAGCCCCTAGTGCAGCCCCTAGTGCAGCCCCTAGTGCAGCCCCTAGTGCAGCCCCTAGTGCAGCCCCTAGTGCAGCCCCTAGTGCAGCCCCTAGTGCAGCCCCTAGTGCAGCCCCTAGTGCAGCCCCTAGTGCAGCCCCTAGTGCAGCCCCTAGTGCAGCCCCTAGTGCAGCCCCTAGTGCAGCCCCTAGTGCAGCCCCTAGTGCAGCCCCTAGTGCAGCCCCTAGTGCAGCCCCTAGTGCAGCCCCTAGTGCAGCCCCTAGTGCAGCCCCTAGTGCAGCCCCTAGTGCAGCCCCTAGTGCAGCCCCTAGTGCAGCCCCTAGTGCAGCCCCTAGTGCAGCCCCTAGTGCAGCCCCTAGTGCAGCCCCTAGTGCAGCCCCTAGTGCAGCCCCTAGTGCAGCCCCTAGTGCAGCCCCTAGTGCAGCCCCTAGTGCAGCCCCTAGTGCAGCCCCTAGTGCAGCCCCTAGTGCAGCCCCTAGTGCAGCCCCTAGTGCAGCCCCTAGTGCAGCCCCTAGTGCAGCCCCTAGTGCAGCCCCTAGTGCAGCCCCTAGTGCAGCCCCTAGTGCAGCCCCTAGTGCAGCCCCTAGTGCAGCCCCTAGTGCAGCCCCTAGTGCAGCCCCTAGTGCAGCCCCTAGTGCAGCCCCTGCTGGTCCGTTTCTGAGTTCCTTCTACTCACTGCCCCTCCCCTTCTGTCCTTCATTTTGCAGGGTATTTTTGAGAATTCTCAAAAACACCCTGAGAATTCTCAAAAACACCCCTTCTGTCCTTCCTCCAGGGTGGAGAGTCTATTTTCGAGGCGCCTCACAAATGAACCCACTGTTCCCCCCCACCCCCTCTCTCCTTCCTCCAGGGCCGCCCTCACCAACATCCAGCCGTTCTCGGCGAAGAATCTGGAGGACCACATGAACGAGCGTGAGCCGTTCGATCTGCCGATCCAACGGACGTATGAGACGCACCTTCCCGAAAACATATACCAGCAGGTGGAGGATATGCTGCTGGATGACGACCAAGTGGCGCACAGTATCGGCGAGAGATACGTCATTCAGGTGCATCTCCTCTCGGTCGTCTCCTCTGGATGACGACCAAGTGGTGCATCCCCTCTCGGTTGGTTTAGATATTATTAGTTGTAGTGCATGAGACGCACCTCCAGAAAGTATCTCCAGAAAGTATATTGCAGCAAAGAACCAATCTCTTGGTTTGCATGCCTGTGACAGGTGGTTGATTCCAGGGAGCACGTTGTCTACAAGGCAGTCTGCAAGTACGAGGCGGATGGCCGGCAGCTTTTCGTCAAGAAGGTTCGGCTAGCTGGCCGCTAGCTGTATATGGGGGTGACAAACAGCAGCAATAGCAATATAGTGGCCGGCGCTCCAACGGGTCACTAATAATCTTATTGTCCGACTCCGTCGAGAATGCTTTTTCTGACACCAGTTTTCTGATACCAGTCTCTGGATTCCACGAGCTACTTTTCTCATGAATCTTGGTGTTCTTGAGAATTCTCAAAAACACCCTGCAAAGACTTGGTGCTCATTAAGGATGATGCTCGTGCTGATGGATGCAGGTCAAGAAGCCTCCTGTTCGCTATGGGGTGATTGACATAGCACGGCCGGACAAAGTGTTGGATGCTCGCTTGATTCTCACTTCTGAATCCCAGCTCACAACACTGGATGTAAGCGTTGCATGCGTCGTGCTGGCCCCTTGATTCCCTAACGATGAGTTCCAGAGCTCCCAACTGGCAGCTCAGTTCTGTATATGCTGCTCATTTCCGACTTCTCTGACCCATCCTTTCCCCGTACTCACCCCCCTCTCCCCACCTGTTCTCCCTTTTCTCTCTTTTTTCTTTTTCAAATCCCACCCCCCCCTTCGCTCGTCGTCTCCCGTAAGGACGAGCTCCAAGCTGCAATCACCAGGATCTTAGCCGTCACTCACGTTGACCCTCGCAGTCCGGCAGGGCTCCGCATCCCAGCACACATGACTGAGAGGCGTAGAGGCTCCGACGTTACCACCAGGGGCTATGCTGGCACTGCTGCCAGGGGCTCTGCTGGCTCTCCTAGCAGGTTCCTGGTGCGTGCGGTGAGGCATGCAACCACGAGGCGGGCGGTGGGGAGGGGGCGGCTGTGGAAGCTTGCTCGGGTTGATGGGGTGGAGTTTAAGCAGGGGGGCGGGCGGCGCACGAACGAGATAGAATTCTGCCCGCTCGCATGGCACCGTGAGCTCAAGGTGAGTTTTCGGGATTTTTACTGATAATGGGAGGTGTGTCATTGTGACAGCTCGGTGACCCTGACGCACGCAGTGAAAGTTGCCCATGCTTCTCTGGTTTGATGCTAATCGCCCGCTAATCAGGGGGCAAAAGAACAGCAGCATATGTTGAGTTCAGCTTGAGATTTCCCCTACTGCTGCGTTCCTGTCCCGCCCACAGGCCAGCTCAGGTGGAGGTGGTGGCAGCAGGGAGCAGCAGCCCCCCTCTTGGAGCACGGACGAGATCATGGGGGAATGTCCTGGGCTGCTGGCATGGCTCTCTGAGAGGTTGCCATAGCAGAAGACGCAGGCATGGAGCTACAGAGTGGGAGCGCAGCAGGGAGCAGCAGCCCCCCTGATGGAGCACGGACAAAATCATGGTGGAATGCACTGCACTGCTGGTGTGGCTGTTTGAGCATTTGCCATAGCGGGGGCCACACGCAGACGTGGGGCCATAGAGAGGCAGTGCAGGGGAGAGCAGCAGCCGATTTTTGAGGCGCCTAAGAAAGTTTGGCATAGCCGGGAACGCTGGTGTGGGGATATGGAGCAGCAGTGCAGGGGAGAGCAGCAGCCGAAGAAAGTTTGGCATAGCCGGGAATGCTGGTGTGGGGATATGGAGAGGCAGTGCAGGGGAGAGCAGCAGCCCCCCGTGTGGAGCACGGAGGAGCGCATGGAAGGAAGCTCCCAAGGGTCTCAGGGAGGATTATCAGGGGTTGGCAGCGTGGGGATGGGGTGGTGACTGCAGGGAGGGCAAGGATGGAGGTGTTCTAGGGAGAGGATGGGGAGTGAACTGTTTTTGAGGCGCCTCAAAAAGGGAGAGGATGGGGAGTGAACTGTTTTTGAGGCGCCTCAAAAAGGGAGAGGATGGGGAGTGAACTGTTTTTGAGGCGCCTCAAAAAGGGAGAGGATGGGGAGTGAACTGTTTTTGAGGCGCCTCAAAAAGGGAGAGGATGGGGAGTGAACTGTTTTTGAGGCGCCTCAAAAAGGGAGAGGATGGGGAGTGAACTGTTTTTGAGGCGCCTCAAAAAGGGAGAGGATGGGGAGTGAACTGTTTTTGAGGCGCCTCAAAAAGGGAGAGGATGGGGAGTGAACTGTTTTTGAGGCGCCTCAAAAAGGGAGAGGATGGGGAGTGAACTGTTTTTGAGGCGCCTCAAAAAGGGAGAGGATGGGGAGTGAACTGTTTTTGAGGCGCCTCAAAAAGGGAGAGGATGGGGAGTGAACTGTTTTTTGAGGCGCCTCAAAAAGGGAGAGGATGGGGAGTGAACTGTTTTTGAGGCGCCTCAAAAAGGGAGAGGATGGGGAGTGAACTGTTTTTGAGGCGCCTCAAAAAGGGAGAGGATGGGGAGTGAACTGTTTTTGAGGCGCCTCAAAAAGGGAGAGGATGGGGAGTGAACTGTTTTTGAGGCGCCTCAAAAAGGGAGAGGATGGGGAGTGAACTGTTTTTGAGGCGCCTCAAAAAGGGAGAGGATGGGGAGTGAACTGTTTTTGAGGCGCCTCAAAAAGGGAGAGGATGGGGAGTGAACTGTTTTTGAGGCGCCTCAAAAAGGGAGAGGATGGGGAGTGAACTGTTTTTGAGGCGCCTCAAAAGGGAGAGGATGGGGAGTGAACTGTTTTTGAGGCGCCTCAAAAAGGGAGAGGATGGGGAGTGAACTGTTTTTGAGGCGCCTCAAAAAGGGAGAGGATGGGGAGTGAACTGTTTTTGAGGCGCCTCAAAAAGGGAGAGGATGGGGAGTGAACTGTTTTTGAGGCGCCTCAAAAAGGGAGAGGATGGGGAGTGAACTGTTTTTTGAGGCGCCTCAAAAAGGGAGAGGATGGGGAGTGAACTGTTTTTGAGGCGCCTCAAAAAGGGAGAGGATGGGGAGTGAACTGTTTTTGAGGCGCCTCAAAAAGGGAGAGGATGGGGAGTGAACTGTTTTTGAGGCGCCTCAAAAAGGGAGAGGATGGGGAGTGAACTGTTTTTGAGGCGCCTGAAAAAGGGAGAGGATGGGGAGTGAACTGTTTTTGAGGCGCCTGAAAAAGGGAGAGGATGGGGAGTGAACTGTTTTTGAGGCGCCTCAAAAAGGGAGAGGATGGGGAGTGAACTGTTTTTGAGGCGCCTCAAAAAGGGAGAGGATGGGGAGTGAACTGTTTTTGAGGCGCCTCAAAAAGGGAGAGGATGGGGAGTGAACTGTTTTTGAGGCGCCTCAAAAAGGGAGAGGATGGGGAGTGAACTGTTTTTGAGGCGCCTCAAAAAGGGAGAGGATGGGGAGTGAACTGTTTTTGAGGCGCCTCAAAAAGGGAGAGGATGGGGAGTGAACTGTTTTTGAGGCGCCTCAAAAAGGGAGAGGATGGGGAGTGAACTGTTTTTTGAGGCGCCTCAAAAAGGGAGAGGATGGGGAGTGAACTGTTTTTGAGGCGCCTCAAAAAGGGAGAGGATGGGGAGTGAACTGTTTTTGAGGCGCCTCAAAAAGGGAGAGGATGGGGAGTGAACTGTTTTTGAGGCGCCTCAAAAAGGGAGAGGATGGGGAGTGAACTGTTTTTGAGGCGCCTCAAAAAGGGAGAGGATGGGGAGTGAACTGTTTTTGAGGCGCCTCAAAAAGGGAGAGGATGGGGAGTGAACTGTTTTTGAGGCGCCTCAAAAAGGGAGAGGATGGGGAGTGAACTGTTTTTGAGGCGCCTCAAAAAGGGAGAGGATGGGGAGTGAACTGTTTTTGAGGCGCCTCAAAAAGGGAGAGGATGGGGAGTGAACTGTTTTTGAGGCGCCTCAAAAAGGGAGAGGATGGGGAGTGAACTGTTTTTGAGGCGCCTCAAAAAGGGAGAGGATGGGGAGTGAACTGTTTTTGAGGCGCCTCAAAAAGGGAGAGGATGGGGAGTGAACTGAGATGAGATGGTTATTGAGAGGGGAATCAAAGAGGACGATGGTGGTGGGTAGGTGGGAGATGATGTGGACGTGGAAGGGAGTAGGGGGGTTGGTTTAGTGGGTGGTCACAAAGTAGCATGCAGACCATGGGGGGAATGGGTTTGAGGATAGCTAGTGGAGTGTCAGTTCTCTTTCTGTTCCTTCATGGTTGTGAAAGATATGTGATTGTGCACACTCGAGAGAGAAGAATTGATGGATGGGGAGAAATGGGCAGACTGTAGCTCCAATCGAGGAGAAATGCTGGGGAATGGAGGAGGGCAGGCAAGTGTACACATACTGAACACTGTTGTACCATGCACAAGGCGAATGTGAGATTATATACAACAGTACTGACAGGATTGTTTATGACAGGTCCTGTGAGCCAGCCATGCCTGCCTGCAGCCCAGGACACTCCCCCATGATCTGCTCACGTGGAGGGCTGCAGCTCCCTGCCTTCTGCGCACTTGCTCTCTGTAGCATCATGCATTCATACTAGGTAGTACCTACCACCACATACCCTCTCATGGCAGATTCTCAGCCAGCCACGCCAGCAGCCCAGAGCACTTCCCCACGATCTGCTCTGAGCTCCATATGGGTGGTGGGGACTGCAGCTCCCTGATGCACTCTTTCTCTATAGGCTGTAGCCCCACGCATTACCACCACGCACACCCAGTCATGGCAGGTTCACACTCAGCCACGCCAGCAGCCCAGGGCACTCCCCAATGATCTGCTCCGAGCTCCACGTGGGGGGCTGCTGTTCCTTTGAGCGCTCTCGCCCCCTACTGTCACCCTGCATAGGTGATGAATTACAAGCGATGGGAATACAAGAGATTATGGAATGCCACATTCCACAAGTGAGCAACGCCGAATGTGGAATCAGATGGGTTCCTCTAACCTGTGAGCAACGCCGAATGCACCTATGCTTACAGGCTGGGAATCACATGGTTTCTATGTGCTTATGGTACTAATGGTGCTGCATGCAAGGGTTTGAATGCAAGGAAAGGTGCCTGGCAAACACATGGACCTGCTCGGAGATGGAAGCGTTGTTCTGTTCGTTACCTTGAGCTGCTGCTGCCATGCTGCCGGGAATACTTCAACCATATTCGTCTTTCTTCCGGCTCCCTGCTTGTACTCAATTCCATCAACACGAGAAAACTTCCACACCCTCCCTTCTGCCACCACCCGTCTCACAGTCAAATGCCTGGCCGCTCGCACTTGGAACCTGCCGCTGCCTTCACTGCAGCTACTCCCACCAGTGGAATTCAAGCTGCTATTGGATGCTATTGAGAACCTGCTACCCATGCCAGAAATTCCGCTGCTGACATCAGAGACCCCGCTGCTGACATCATTGTAAGTACTACTGCGAATCCCACTGCTACCCTCCGAAGCAGTGCTTGAAGTGTCTGATTCCCTGGCAGCAACATCAAAACCCCTGCGACCTTCAATCATGTCCTCTGGAATGCGCACCCCACCTGGGCTCTGTGGGTCAATCTGTGCTGAATGCAGGACCTTGCTGAATGCAGCACCCAGTGGATCCTGCTGGGATGTGGGAGAGGGATTGAGTGCGCTGGAATTTGGGGCTAGAACTTATTTGGCCTACAAAACGAGTGAGTAAATATCTTGTGCTAGAAAGGTTGCATCGCCTTTAAATGTGTGCAACTCACATCCCACCGAATGCATGCATACATGTGCGACTCACATCCCACCGAATGCATGCATACATGTGCGACTCACATCCCACCGAATGCATGCATACATGTGCGACTCACATCCCACCGAATGCATGCATACATGTGCGACTCACATCCCACCGAATGCATGAATACATGTGCAACGCACATCCCACCGAATGCATGCATACATGTGCATCTCACATCCCACCAAGGGAATGTATGCATGCGCCACTCACGTCCAGGGTAGTCAAGCGTGTCTCAATGGTCAGGATTAAGCGAACATCGAGGGCGTTTCCTGGCCGTGCGATTTCAATGACTCCATAGCGAACTGGAAACTTCTTCACCTGAATTCACAGAAGCAGGCAGCACCTCTTGTGTATCAGCTAGAAGTCGAAAAAATGAGGAGAATTGAGACGTGGTAAAAAAAAAGGCAAAAAAGAAGGCTCTTGATGACTCTGCCAACAGGACCGCAATACCAGTAACGATGCACTGTTGTTGAAATGTTTCAACTGACCACACCTTTTTTATGATGAAGCGCTTTTCATCAGCAACATATTTACAAGCTGCCCTGTAGATAGTGCGGGACCAGGTATCAACCACCTGAAATACACAAAAACAATAGCATGCGGAAAAGAGGGCGCGTGTGTGATATGCAAAAAGGAAGACGGAAAGAAAGCACAAAACAGCACAAAGCACAAATCCTGCTGCTAAGGATGGATGAGCATGTGCCAAGCCTCACCTGAATGTCATATTTCTCGCTCTCTTCGAAAGCTACTTCAGCGTTTTCCAGCACAATGCCTTCCAGTCTGCTGCAGACACTGTCAGGGACGTGCGTCTCAAACACTCTGTGAAGGGGCAGCTTCAACCGCTGCTGCTCACTGTCCTCATTGCCGTTCATATAATCCTCCAGGCGTTGAGCAGAAAATGGCGGAACCTTGAGTAGGCGGGTCCTGGCAGAAAATTAGCCGGATTTGGCTGATTAAGACTTATCAAGAAAGGCGTGGAGAAGAGATGCAATCACATTCCGGGCACTTAATTTTGTTCCTGGCAACGTATGATACAGACCGGAAACCATTCAGCGCCTCAGGATGCAAGCAAATTCAATACACATACTTTACATATACCTGCCCTGGGCCGAGAAAAGCAGCTTGCCTAGTCGAACCAGGAGCCTAACCCTCCTTGTCCCATCATGCGCACTCTGCACTGTCATAGCACGTCGTTCCAATTTCGCATGAACCAGATCGAGAGCCTCAGTCAGGGGCTCTCGGATTGAGTCTAGCAATCTGACCTCTCGTGGACCGTCGATACCTTCCCTGCTAACATCCCCACCGTCGATGTTATTCGACCCTGAAAGAGCCTCACCGTTGTCCCCGCTATTAGTAACTCCATTACCATCCCTGCTATCAGCATGTGCACTACAGCCCTCACTATTAACATCTCCGTGAAACACCCTTATTACGTTATTTTCCGAATCGTATGCCCATTTCCCCGCGAATTTATCACTGTTAGCTAGCCAGTCTTGGAGAGTGCCTCGAATCGGTGCCTTGATAAGCGTCGCTAGGTGCCTCTTCCGAAGATAAGGATAGCTTTCGCAGCCGAACTGCTCGAAATAGAGGGAGATTCGCTTATCTGGAGCCAGATTGTCGCTCTCGGCCTTTCTGTCGTCATAGTCACGTCCACGATTGTGAGAATCCTGGCGTCAGGGGAATGCGTGAGTGGACCACCGCCTCTCGTTGGCAGCTTAAATCGCCGACTATAGGACTCGTAAAGCGCCATGGTTGAAGAGAGATTGATAGTGGTTATTTCGGACTAGTGATAGTGTTTTTCCCTCAGGGTTGTGTCACAAACCCTCTTTCGGCGATACGCGCTGCTCGGAGCTTTAGCTTGCGAAATGGGACGCCACAACTGTCCGCGGAACAACTCAGCTAAGAAGGCTCGCGGATAGACGCGTGCAGCCATGGGTGCCTACTAGCCATGCTGTCAGTGGACGGTGGGCTTCACAATGTGCGACGATGGCTGAATGCAACTCTTGGAGGAGTGTAACGCGACGCCATGCAACACAATGCAGAGATGAAAACACAAGGCCCAAGCTGTTTGTATCGCTGCTCAGGGCGTGTCTTAAGTGCATGCCAGGCATTAATCTCAGAACGTATCTCACCTTCAGTTACTGTTCTTGAAAACTTACGTTCCAAAGCTGTAGCGAGACGCGATTTGGGCAAACTCGCCACTCCTGACCTAAATGTCAAATTCACACTGCAAAACGTGTACGAAGTGGCAATCTGTATCATTTGTTATGTCCTTCGTGTGCTCGCAGCACAGTGAAACGCCATCGTTTCGAAAATGGGCACGAGAACGAGGGCTGCAAGGTTTTTGTGACGCGCTTCGTAAGAATTAAAAACATTCAAATCATATGGTAGTCACAGACATGCCCATCTTTGTGCGTGAACGAACTTTGGGTTCGCTTGCAGATTCGTCGTGACGCGAGATGATATGTAATATGTTACCAAGAGCCACATAAGTCGCGCCCTGATCCTCACGGAAGGTCCTACCCGTCCAACAGTCTGATCCGAAGTTCAATCCTGGTTGAATGCACTACAGTTCCGTGACTCGGAACAACGTCCAAAGTTTCGCGAAGCTCGCAAACATCTGTTCGCAGGCATCACTTTCTGGTGTGCTTGCCCTGCACTTCTCGAGACACCACAGACCAAACTCCAGCAAAAGCCGAAATGTGCGATTGAAATCATTTCAGCTTGACCCCGTGTTGCCCGCCACGCCACAATCGTTCGTCCATGGATATCATGAGAGAATCGAGGGAGGAGGGGTTTTCGTGAAACGGCGATTTCTACTGCCCACATCTGACGTTTTCACCAATTCCCAAGACAGGCTGACTGACTGCCTCGCAGCATACGCATGCCGACTTGTGTGTCATTCGACATGGTCACATCAATCAGGCGTAGTCGCATGCACCGTACACAACGAGGGAATTGCGGAGCGCGCGCGCTGTTTGCGCTCCCGAGCTCTCTTGGTCTGGCTGCAACGACCCAAGACCGATGGTTAACGCAGTTGGAGACCGATTGTGGTGAAAATCCAAGCTATCGCCCCGGTTTCGTTCCTCCAGGCTCTCCTCCTTTCATTAACCTCCCGCAGACGGACAAATGCTCTCTCGCAAAGGCGCTCATCGCAGTTCCCTTCTCATGGCGCAACGAGAGCCGCCAAGACGGAAATTACTATCACGAGGTGGACTTCCGATCTATCATGCCCGGGATGCGAGGATGTTAACCCTCGTGGACGATTATGGTGATAGGAAGGCCGGCAACCTCCTTTTCACACCGGATCAGAGGGTTTCCCTGTTTTTTGAACCATTTCGCAACCTGTGTTACCCTCATCTTCGGAATAGGTATCTTGCCGTGCTTATCAGGTCTCCGACTCAGGGGAATCTTGGAGGCTGGATTAATAGGAGGACTGTCCCGTTGGAGTACGATTCCGATCAAGACTCACGGCTCGTTCACGGAGATGCTGACAGCAGGGACAGCGGTGGGGTGCTTTCCGAGCCGAATGGCGAGGATAGCGGAGATGTTGATAGCGGGGACAGCGGGAATAGCATTGGAGGGCCTTCAGCGGCGAATGGCCGGGACAGTCCTAGAGAGGCCAGGCTGATTGACCAGATTCGGCAGCCGCTGACCGAAGCCCTGGATCTGGTGCATGAGAGAATTGACCGTTGTGCGCTGATGGGAGAGGGGGGTGCTGGCGGTGGGGTGGAGAAGGTGAAGCTCCTGGTGAGGCTCGGGAAGCTGCTGTTCTCGGTGCAAGGCAGACCAGAGTACGTGTGGTGGCTTGCCATGCCTTGGGGTTCTATTTCGTGGATACGCCTTGTCTCCAACTCCCATCACCGCTAGTTGTTCCTTGAACAGAACTCAGTGGCATGAGCTTCCTTTATCAGTTCTTTATTTAGCTTGATAAAGCTTTTCAACACCCTGTTTTAGTTGGAGTCCCCAAATTCGTTAGTTTGATTTCATTCCTCCATCGCCTATGTTTGGATAAGGTCTTTTAATCCGCTGCATTTGATTGACTTCCCCAATTTCTCCTGCCAGAGCTTCCCTATCCAGGATTCCGTCATTCTCTGCTCAGAAGTTGGAGGATCACTTGAACAACCGTGCACGCTTTAGGGTCCCCATCCACAGAACGTATGAGACTCACGTTCCTGACAGCATCTACAGCCGATTGGAAGACCTGCTGATGAGAGATGCTGGATCTGCATGTCAAGCTGCTTCTCCCAGCGCCTCCAGTGAAAAATACAACATTCAGGTGACTTCAGATGCCCTATGCAGCCCATGTCTTGACTCATATGCACAAGTAAAACGCGTCACCTTGCCTTTTGTATGCATGTGTATTCAGGTGATTGATACCAAGAAAGGCATTATCGACAAAGCGGTGTGTAAATACCTCACGGATGAGCGACGCTTCCTCCTTAAAAAGGTGTGGCTGGCTGAAAGGACACACGGGGTTTTTTATTCAACAAGCAGGATAAGGAGCAAGGGCACCGATTTTCTTTTTGACTGGCTGGATATCTAACACATCCTTATTCACAAACCGTCTGGTTTGTGAATCCAGGTGAAATTGCTGCCCCTTCAGTATGCAGTTATTGACATTGCAAACCCAGGCAAAGCTGTGGATGCGCGCTTATTTCTCACCACCGAAACACACCTGACAGAGCTCGATGTGAGTCACACCAGCATTCATCTGACGTCTGATATTTTCTTCTATATGTAAATTCGTTGAAGTTTTACAAGATGACGTAAATCCACCCTCGTGTAAGGCTTGCTATTCTCGTTTAAAGGCTTGATGTGAGTCACACCAGCGTTGCCATGTTTTACCTTCTCGAGATATCCCCCTCAACATTCCTGATGGTACTCCTCAAGTCTCTCATCTTTCCAATGCAGGGTGACCTTGATACTGAAATTCAAAAGATTCTGGAATTTGCTCAGATTGACCCATGGAATGCAGGAGGCTTGCACATTCCACCTCATATGACTGAAGGCTACCAGGCCCCCGACGCCAGTACCAATGGTCATGGAGCTTCCAGTGGGGCATGTGAAGGTAGTAGCAATTGTAATGGGGCTAAGAAGAATCATAGGGAGAGCAGAAGATTCCAGATCCGGGCTGTAAGGCATGTGACTGTGAGACAGGCAGCGGGGGGAGGGAGGCTCTGGAAATTTTCACGTGTTGATGGGATTGAGTATAAGCAGGAGGGAGGGCGGCGGACGAATGAGATTGAACTCTGCCCAGTTGCATGGCAGCATGATCTCAAGACTAGCCGTGTGGGAGGTGGTGGCAGCATAGAGCAGCAGGCCCCTGCATGGAGCACGGAAGAGATCATGGCGGAGTGCCCTGGGCTGCTGGCATGGCTGACTGACAATCTTCCATCATGATGCTTTCTACAATGAATGCAAATCTCCGAATGATGGACAGAGCGTTCTTCCTACAATGAATGCAAATCTCCGAATGCAGAACATTCCACATTCTGATGAATGACTGGTATAGTAAAGGAATGCTTTTGAACAGTTATCAAACTCTGCTAGTGAAGAATCTTATACGGATCCGACTAGTGGTGCCCGTGCATCCTGCCTAGCCGCCCTGGAGCCCCCGGTCGAAGCGCGAAGGCGCAAACAGACCAATCTCTCGCCGCCACGGTGTCATCCGCCTCGCTAACAAACGCCGCCTTCGCGGTTCGTCACCAGCTCCGCCCCAGCCCAAGCCAACCATCCGATGTACGCTCAACTTGTCGTCAGCGGAGGATCTCGTCGCCACCAATAATAGCCATCACACTCCCTGTCAACACGCTCCTACTGCACATCTCGTTCGTCGATAAGTTTCGCAGCACCAATTGACTTTCGCACAATTCTGCGGCTTGAATCTTCAAGCCACAGCCTGCAAACCCCCCACCACCTGCCCCGCATTGTTCCCGCAAGCGCCAACTGCGGTCCCTGGGGCAAATTCGCCCCTTTTCTTCCTCCAGTCTCTCCTCCGCCCGACACCAGAATCTCTACTCCACCCACCCCTCTGCTTTCCCCTTATACTGACGCATGGCGTCGGCTACAGTGTGCTCCTCCCATCCCGCCCATCCCAAGATCTAGGCTGCTGGAATTCCTGTCCTCACCTGGCTCGCTCCCCTCTCCCTCACTGCTGTGTTTCCTCTCGTATGTGGGTAGTAAGAGCTGTGGGGTGGATGTAGCAACGATGCAGCGAGCAACCTGCGTCAGTATCCTCGCTTCTTAGTGCTACCTGCGCGATTCAACCCGTTCATGAGCTGACTTTCCTTGATTGTTTCCCAAGTGCGCCCAGATCGGAATTTACGGTTCTCGTCGGCTGTCATAGCGATGGAGTTCAGCCCATGGATTGCCAAAATTCTCCGAGTGAGCTTGGGGATTGAAACAGCGCACCGGTTCTAAGAGCAATCCAGAAACGGCGTATTACAAGTCCTCAAAACTCAAAGAGCAATCCAGGGCACCAGTTGGGCAGTCTCGTCGTTTGAGCAAGCTGAGGCAGCGGTGTTTTATAAACAATCGCCCAGTAGACGGCGTTTTACAACGCTTCGCGACGTCGTCGCCCTGCACAGTAGGCTGCGACGCGAAACGCTCCGGACCACCCTGACCAACAACTGTATAAGCCCCTGCCGTCAGTGTCACTTACATACGCCAACTTCCCCCCTTATAAGAATCAGAGCGCCGCTTTAGCAGAAGCCGTAGCCCGCATGGCTGAGAGGCAAGGGAGCCACGTGGGCGGCGGTCTTGACTGCAGCAGCCGAGCTAGGAGGAGTGACGAGCGTAACAGCAGCAACGGTACCGGTGGGAACAGCCATGGTTGTTTCATTGTCGCACCGCGCGGTACCACCAGCACCCCTGCCGCCGCCGCCGCCGAATCCGGTGCCTCCAACTCAACTGATCCGGAAACCGAGGCGCTAATATCCCCCGTCGCATCCTCCATCGACCTCAATGAATCTCGACCGCACGATGAATTCTCGGCTCCATCCTCGCCGTCCAGCGACGAGTCACCTCCTGGCGACGAATCTCCGCCGTCGCCGCAGTTCGCGGTGAGCGACACGGCACAGCCGTGGTCCAGGACAGGTGGCGCGATGGCATTGGACGCCGCGAGGCTGATTCAGCAGGTCGGGATTCAGCAGCTCATGCGCCGACGGCAGTCGCCTCGCCAAGCCTCAGCTCCGGAACAGGTCCGGCCCAAACCTACTCCTGCACTTCCAATTTTGTCGGTTCCAATATTTCTGTTCCTACATGTCAGCCCCGCTTTTCCCCTGCTTTTTTTTTGTCAGCTGCCCGACCCGCAGCCCAGCACGTGGGCGTATTCCCGCCCGGTGGTGATCCTCGACGCGTTTTGGAACCTCGCCTTCGTTGTAGTCACGGCCATCACGCTCTTTATAAGCCAGGCGCGGCACGAGCACCCCCCCGCGCCGCTGTCCATCTGGTTACTCGGTTACGCCGTGCAATGCGCGGTCCACGTCATCTGCGTGCTGCTGGAGCACGAGCGGCGGGAGAGTCGGCGGGTGCGGGAGCGGCAGGAGCAGCGGGAGCAGCGCAGGGGGGGGAGACGCGGGCGGGGGAGGGGGAGGGGAAGGAGACGGGGGAGGGAAGGGCGGAGGGAAAGGGGGAGGGAGAGATCACGAGAGGTAGTAATGGGGGTTGGGGGGGCGAATGGGGGGAATGGGGGCGCGCATGGGGAGGGGGCGCAATCTAATGGGGGAACGGGGGAAGGTCAATCGGGGGAACGGGAGGCAATGAGGGAGAGGGGGGATGGGGGGGGCTATGCGGAAAGGACAGGCGGCCAGAGGGAAAGGGGGGGAGAAGAAGACTTAAACGTGCGCAGGAGAGACGCGGGGAGAGTTGTGACTGTAGACGAGGCAGCTTCTGTGCTTATAACGGGAGGGGTTGTGCTATCAGAAAGGGAGGCGGGGGAGGATGAGGCGCTGCTGCTGGGTGAAGAGAGGGCGGGAGAGGAGGATGGGGGGAGGGATGCGCGGGCACGGGGAGTGGGGGAGTGGGGGGCATGGGGGGAGATGAAGGAATGATGGTGGTGGGTGATGGCGGGGAAGAAGAGGAGGAAACGGATGACTCAGACCAGAGGTAAGAGTCACCGGCGGGTGGTGGTGTTCTCCCTTCCCTTCCTCTTCCCTTCCCTTCCCTTCCCTTCCCTGCCACTCTCCCATGCTCCAATCACCACCATTCAATCTCCATTCCCTTTGCCGCTCTGCCCTCTCATGCCCTCCCTCCCGGACCCTCCCTCTCATGCCTCTCCTGCCCTCCCTCTCATGCCCTCCCTCCCTCTCATGCCCTCCCTCCCTCTCATGCCCTCCCCCTCTCATGCCCTCCCTCTCATGCCCTCCCTCTCATGCCCTCCCTCTCATGCCCTCCCTCCCTCTCATGCCCTCCCTCCCTCTCATGCCCTCCCTCTCGTGCCTCTCATGCCCTCCCTCTCATGCCCTTCCTCTCATGCCTCTCATGCCTCGCATGCCTCGCATGCCTCTCATGCCTCTCATGCCTCTCATGCCTCTCATGCCTCTCATGCCTCTCATGCCCTCCCTCCCTTCCGGACCCTCCCGGATGTAATGAGTCGATTCTTGAGTCGACTCAATAATCGACTCATTACTCCCGGACCCTACCTTTCGACCATGATTACCTAATCCCCACCCTCCACTTCCCTCCTCCTTTCATTCACACTCGCTTTCTTCCCTTTCCCTCCCCTCTTGTACCTCTTTTTGAGTTAACTCAAAACGAAACTAGTATCACTCAAAACGAAACTACTATCACTCAAAACGAAACTACTGTCTTTCAAAACGAAACTACTATCACTCAAAACGAAACTACTATCACTCAAAACGAAACTACTGTCTTTCAAAACGAAACTACTATCACTCAAAACGAAACTACTATCACTCAAACGCAGCCGAGACCAAACCCTCATCCCCCACTTCCCCCCTCGCACCTCTGTCACTCCAGCCTCGCACGGCGCATCGAGTCGGCCAACACCATGTTCTCCTTCGCCTGGTGGCTCGTCGGCTTCACTTGGATTCTTTCCACCATCGACGACTCCTTCAAAGACGCGCCCATCCTCTCCTGGTGAGCGCATCGCGCACTGGGGGCATTTGAACCCATCTCCTGACGTCACTCCCACAACAAGTGTCGCCTTCACTGCGATTGGATCCTCTCCACCACCATCGACGACTCCTTTAAAGACGCGCCCATCCTCTCCTGGTAAGTGCATAGCACCCTGAGCATTTGAATATCATCTCCTGGCCTCATTCACTCAACAAGTCCCGCCCTCACTTGGGTTCTTTCACCATCGACGACTCCTTTAAAGACGCGCCCATCCTCTCCTGGTGAGGGCATTGTGTACTGAGTGTGTATTTGGGGGGGCATTTCTGGCCTGACTCACACACTTGAGGTTTGCTTTACTTTGATCCTTTCCACCATCGATGATTCCTTCAAGAAGGAGGCGCCCAACCTCTCCTGGTGAGATTTATTTTCTCGCCCCGGACACCTTACCTTGCCTCTGATAAGAGTACGGTGATCTTGCTTCTAAAAACTCTTCCCACCCTCCCCCGGAAACCCCCTCCCCTACACCCACCCCCCACACACTCCACCATCAGGGGGGCTGCAGCCTTCCTGGCGTTAGACGTGTTCTTTGTCGTGTTCTGCATGGCCGTGGCGTGCGTGGTGTGTGCTGCTGTCTGCCCCCACTTGAGTCCTGTATCTCGCTCTCTCCCCCTCCTCCCTCCCTCCCCCAACTGTCTCACTCCACCACCAGGGCAACCACGGCCTTCCTGGCGTTCGACGTGTTCTTTGTCGTGTTCTGCGTGGCAGTGGCGTGCGTGGTGGGCATGGCGGTGTGCTGCTGCCTGCCCTGCATCATCGCACTCATCTACGCCGTCGCGGACCAGGCGAGTAAATCAAGCAACACTGTACAGGTGGCCAAGTCTTAGCAGTGCGCTAGGTGCTAACAGCATAGCTGGCAGTGGCGTGTGTGGTGGTCATGGTTGTGTCCAGCAATCTTCTGCTCTCAGCATACCTTCACATCACCGCATCTTGCTCTTGCTCTTGCTGTTGCCCCTTCCAGGAAGGAGCATCAAGGGAGCAGATCGAGGCGCTACCAAAGTTCAAGTTCTACCGCCAGCGCACCGCCGCCAATAACCTCCTATGGCAAGCCAGCAGCGCCTGTCCCTTCCACTCTTGCTCCTCCTCCTTCCGCCCCTCCTCTTCGCCCTCCCTCTCCTCCTCCACTTCCTTCTCCTCCACTCCTGCCATCAGAACCCCCTCCTGCCCCTGCTGCTCTTCCTCTGCCTTTGCTGGTGCCATGTGGCGCAATGCGGTTGGCCTGGCTGCTGGCCTCTGGCGGCGGGCAGGCCGGGCAGGGGGAAATAACAACAGCAGAAATACTGCGAGTGGTGATGGCCCGGACGTCCGTGTGACTGTAGAGGAGGAGACAGGTGGCATCATGTCATTGGTTGGTTCGGTCCATCCGCCAAGGCAGAGGCATGTGGAGGCAGAGGATGCGGAGTGCTGTGTGTGCCTTGTGAGGTACGAGGATGGGTGTGTGTTACGGGAGTTACCATGCGCCCACCACTTCCATGCGGCATGCATTGACAAGTGGCTCAAATCGCACCCGACGTGCCCGCTGTGCAAGCGCGACATTACAAAGGGTGTTGGCAGCGCAGCAGCACCAGACAGGCAGCTAAGCTCACTCTCCGCTGGAGCATCGGAGGAACGGACGGGTGAAAGCACACTGTAGGGCAAGCTGGGATACCGCGAATAAGGGAGGGAGGGACATCTTCACCACTAGGCAACTTATACCGAAGGGCAATGCATCTCTATTCCAATCCAGTGAAAATTTGTGAAGCCACATGTCTAAGTTTATCTGTAATTCCCTTGCCTAAGAAGTTGGTAGGGGTGAAGGTAGCTTTTCTAAATATATGTGTTTTGCTTTACGTGTTTACTAGTATTCACGGTGTACCTAAGAGCGTGTTCCTACCAGCCCCTTCCCAAGCAACCTCTTCCAAGACTCGCGTGCTACAGTATCTCAAATTTTGGCGGGAAATGTTTCAGTGCAATTCGACGAAGTGCGAGGTGAGATTTGGCTTCCCGAGATTCAGGGGCGTGTTTAAAACCGATTTTCAGACGAGCAGATTTTCAGACAAGCGCGAATCTGCACAGTAAAATTTCGACGCCAGCTGGTTTTATGTGGTTGAGAGCGATGGAACGCAAATATGAAACAGAAGTATTCCGAAAAAGTGATCCTGCGAACACGCTATCAAGATCACGCGTGAGTCTGGGAAGAGGCCCGTAGAAACATGCTCTAAGTCAAACAGAGGGAGACTGTGCTTCGCAGAACTCGGAGGGACCTGTTTGAACCCGAAGGCGGCCATCGCGGAACCTCCACAACACAGACCTGGCGGGAAAGAAAACATTTCCGCGATACTCATTTGCGTGTACTAGCCAATCACAGGAGTTATTTCAGCTTTCCGCGCTTGCCCTGCCGACCTGTCAGCCAATCAGCTGCCTCGAAAACGTAAAAACTCGGCAACAGCTGGGAGGAAACGCGTTTGCAATTCTGGGTTTGACGAGCGACAATGTCGCGAACGGTTGACTGACGTCTGGTGCACGAAAGCTTCGTGTCAAGCTTAGCGTGCTGGGGGTTGCGCGAAGGAGTCCGCTTGGGAGGACGAATCTTGGGATTGCCTTGCCAGAGAACAAGTCTCAGCAGCAGTTCCAGCCAGACAACCATGCAAGTAAATATCGCACCGTCTCCTTCTCGCAGTCCAAGATAGTCCTCTCCCATCGCACTTCACTCTAGCCCACCTGCTCCTGACCCTCACAGCTTTCTATTACTTCTTTGGCCCATCTCAAGATTAGCTTCGTAGTTAGTTTTGTGGGCCTCTCCATATCCGCTTTTTAGCCAGCATGGCCGTATTTCATATCGCTCTGGCGACTCACTGTGCGAACAGCCAGTGCTTCTGCGCTGAGGTCATTCCTCTTGAAACGCCGCCTCACAGCCATGCATTTTGAGCCTACATGGCCGTATTTTGTCCTGGAGTTTTTCTCTGGTGATTTACTGAGGCGCAGCCAGAGCTGCTGAGCTGAGGTCATTCCTCCCTCCAAGCGCCTTCAGAGCGCCTTCCAAGGCCCTGAATAGCTCACCGTTTTATCTCTTGAGCTGTGCGCGTGCGCCTCTGGCTGAACAAGCCATGTCTTTCTGGCCTCATGTTCCAAACGCGCAGAATTGCGCGATGATTATTGATCCTGCATCAAGAACAACAAGGGACGGTAAGCGGCTGTGGATGGGATTTAAGGGGAAATGCTATATCTGTGTGTTGCTGTGTTACAGGGACGATACGCTGATCCATCGGGATCCCACGGCGAAAGCGGCTCGACACCACGCCAAGCACCACTGTTTCGGCGAGCAGCGCACATTCGCCTATCGCATAAAGACAGGAGGCAGAAAGTACCTGTAAACCTACCACCTACTGGGAACCCAAACGCGAGCAACAGGTTTCTTGAAGAAGCGACGACACGACGAGCCGACCCACACTGGACCACGAATCAGGGATCCACACGAGTAACGCTTGCGACTCACGACCCGCAGCACCAACAGTGAACCTCGCGCCGTCCTCGCCACATGGTGAAAAAAGGACGCTCCAATCTCGTCTGCTAGGACTCACATCGGCCAAAGCAGGATGGTCCTGGACATGCCACCTTTCGCATGACAAAACGTTAAGTAACGTGCGACCTCGCAACAGCCTTCACACTGCCCCCACTACCGATCAAACCATGCGAGAGCGCGTGGCTGGAACCAGCGTGCGTCACTTCTGATATAACCCCCAAAGATAACCATCTCAAGATGCAGTGTGAACTTCTGAATAAAGGTGGAATGAATTTCACTCGCCATGGAACTTAAAATATGCTTCTACCTTGCTGCATGCTTTTGTGTCATTGTTCTTGTTCTCTCTACCTCCCATTGTCCTGTGTAGTACAAGTTTATTTAGCCTCCTTTGTAGTTCCACCTGTTTGTCGTTTACTAGACAGATAGATGGTGTGCATAGGGTTGATTTGAGCAGGGCTTGGGTGGAGCTATGGCTGAAGATGAAGAAGCATTGCCGAAGAGGAGGACGCATTAAGAGGAGGACGCATGAAGAGGAGGACGCATGAAGAGGAGGACGCATGAAGAGGAGGACTCATGAAGAGGAGGACGCATGAAGAGGAGGACGCATGAAGAGGAGGATGTTGCAAAGGGGGTCCAGATGCTGAACACATTGGTTCAGGCACGTGAAGGTGTCAGAGCAGGTGTAAGAGCTTTTAGAGATGATCGCTAAAATGTCTACACACATTTTTGCGCAAGGTTTATCGGGGATAATATACGTTATTTTGAACACTTCGTTGAGTCGCATCAGAATCTGGGAAACACCCTCATGCAGCCTCGTTTAGGTCACACGAACGAACCGCCAATCAGAATGCCTCGATTTTCCGCTCCATCGATATTCGCTCGCAGCCTCTCAGCCCTTCGTTTCACGGGTCACAGGGAATGGGCTTCACGTTGCGCTCTCCTCCACTCCTAAGCTGTCCTGTCCAGATTCTAGATTCCAGCAATAAGCTCTAGGAACGGCTGCTATTGCAGCCATATTCAGGGTTGAGATAGGAGCTCAGGTTGCCGTTCAGACGCGGTGATTCCGCGTAGTATCCCACGCTTTTCTGGTCAAGGGTGCTGGGTTGCTGCTAAACCCATCTGGCCACCATGGCTTCAGTGATCTTCACCATCCCGATTGCCGTCAACTTCCTCGCATCGAGTCTCATAGTGTCCACCATTCAGGTGTGCGACTTGTGAAGTTTAACGGATCTCACTATTGAACGTGAGATGCCGGCCTAAATTTTGCTCTCACCTCTATCCACCTATATCCCGTCTACTTCCGCTTTTCGTTGGAAAACCCCCTTGATTATCCGACCTCTCCTGCAGATCGCCCTCTCCATTCTCGTGTTCCCGATCAGCCCTCGCACGTACCGCGTCATCAATGCGTATCTCATGGGCTCCTTCTGGGGCATGTTCATCTGGCTCATCGAGTGGTGGGGCCGCGTCGAGGTGCGTGCTCTTAGAGATTTCTCAGTCAACTCAACGTTACCTACGGCTATTGTCTCATGGGCTCCTCATCAATGCGTATCTCATGGGGTCCTTCTGGGCCATGTTCATCTGGCTCATCGAGTGGTGGGGCCGCGTCGAGGTGCGTCCTCCACAGATCTGCGGCTCTTAGGGTATTCTTCAGAATCCTCGAGAGTACCGTCACCCCTCATCAATGCGTATCTCCTGGAATCGTTCTCGTGCATGTCAATCCGGCTTATCGAGTGGTGGGCCGCTAGGGAGAACCACGAGAAAGCGCCTGCCGAACAGTGATTCTTCCTCAGGCCAGAACGCGTTACCGAAATAACCTATCGCTGAAACCTCGTTTTTCCCTCTGCTCGTGTATCAACTCGTTTCAACTCGTTTCGCAGGTCCGGCTGTACGGCGATCCCAAGGAGCACGCATACTTTGGTACGCGATTAATTTAACACTTGCATCCACATATGCCACACCCGGGCCGACACTGCATAGGATTTCTCTTCTTACCCTGAGCCCTTTTTTTTCCACCAATGTCCGCGCGTGATAATTTGGCTGGCTTCTGCACCCGCATATACTTTCGGGGCCTGCTCAATCCAGTCGTGCTGTGCGCGTCTCTCATGGCTTTCTGCTATGGAACCTCTATTGTGCGCGTGTCCTCCCGTGCTGTCTGGCAGGCACGGAGAGCGCCTTGTGTGTGAGCAACCACCGCAGCGACGTCGACTGGGCCATTGGCTGGCTTCTCTCCCAGGTGGGCGCTGCGAAACGTCTCTCAGGTGGGCGCTGCGAAACGCCCCCCAGGTAGGCGCTGCGAAGCGTCTGCTGTCTTTTCCATGCTAGCGTACTTGCCGGGGCAGCCATTCCAGCGATCATAGTGGCTGGCTTCACAGGCATTCCAGCAGCATAATACTGATAATGATGGGCCAAGCTAGAATGGAACCACGCCAGGAATGGAACACTGTCTTTCCCTCCCTCCCTCCCTCCCTCCCTCCCTCCCCCCCCTCCTCCCTCTCATGTCTGTCCCCTCCTCCCTGTTCCCCCCACCGCTGTTGCAGAAGTGCGGCTGCCTGGGAGGCTCGATCGCGCCTGTTGAGTCGACTCAGAAGTCATCTCTCCTGCCGGTTCTCTCCTCTCTATTTCCCCCACTCCCCCATCCCTCCCTCCGCCCCCATTGCAGAGGTGCGGCTGCCTCGGGGGCACGAGAGCGCTTATCAAGGAGCAGGCCAGGTGGATGCCCGTGATTGGCTGGTCCATGTGGTTCTCGGAGTACCTCTTCCTTGCGCGCAACTACGCCACCGACCAGACGAGAATACTCGTGAGTGGCCGTTTCTCTCAAGTGTTGAGATTTTGCATGCGTTTGTTTACTTTTTATTTTATTTTATTTTATTCCAACTGTCTCGGCGGCGTACCTGGCCTCGCCTTGCGTCCATGCTGCCTCCATCTCCCTCTGTGCCCCAGAAAAGCTCTAATTAATTTCTATCTCCCTGTTCCTTTTCTAGGTGACGCTGTTCACGGAGGGCGCCCAGTCCAGGCCGAAGAAGCCTCACGTAACAACAACCCCTCTGCCCTGCTCTGCTCTGCTCCCCCCCGTCCTCCCCCTCGCCCCCTTTCCTTCCTCCCCCCCAGGACGGCTACTTTTGAGTCGACTCAAAAGTCACCCAGTTCAGGTCGAGGAAGCCTCACGTAACAACTGTCCCTGCTCTGCTCCCCCCTGTCCTCCCCGCCCCCCTGTCCTTCTCCCCCCCAGGCCGGCTACGCTCGGCTGCGCAGATTCCCGTTTTGCGTCTGGGTGGCGCTGTTTATGAAGGGCAGGCGGTTTACTCCTGAGTCCTGACAAGACTCAACCCCCCTCTCCCTGTCCTCTACTCCCCCCTGTCTGCCCCTCCCGTCCCCAGGACGGCTATGCTCGGCTGCGCAGCTTCCCGCTGTACTTCTGGGTGGCGCTGTTTATGGAGGGCACGCGGTTCACTCCCGAGAAGCTCAAGGCAGCGCAAGAATACGCCAAGGAGGCCGGCCTGCCCATCCCCCGCCACGTGCTCGTGCCCCGAACCAAGGTGGGCGGATTGCACCAAGGTGGGTAGGTCCAACCGGTTACGTAGGGCTTTAGGGGGTTTGGGGTTGTAGGTGTTGCAAGGAGAAGCTCAACGCGGTGCAGGAATATGCCAAGGAGTCTGGCCTGCCCATCCCCCGACACGTGCTCGTGCCGTGCACTAAGGTGGGTAAGCCCACATAAGGTTGGTTGGTAAGCCCAATACTGGTTTGGTGCTCTGCTCCAAGGTGTGTAGGTTCGCAAGGAGCTCACTGCAGTCAATGCAAGCTTGGTCATGCATGCGATCACAGGCAAAGGAGACTGGCCCCACTAAAGCAGGCTTTCTAGTGATTAGGGATCAATGCTTGCATCTTTTGTGATAGGGAAAAGAGAATGTTAACCTGAATTTCCGGTTCCCTAGAGCTGGCGGAACTTGTTTTTTTAGTCGACTGATATTACCTGAGAATGGCAACTGAAGTTTCGGTTGCCTAGAGCTGGCAAAACGTTGCATTTTGGCATGTCGCTAAAAAATTCGGAGGCTCAAGGTTTCCCACCCAGCCCACTGTATTCGTGTGCCTGTACGCTTTCTCGAATTATTGTTATTCTGCGCTTCCTATCCGCCCATCCCATGCATTCGTTCTTGACACCAGGGGCTGGTGATGTCAGTGGAACAGACGAGGGGGCACGCTGGAGCTAT